ATTGTCTGATGTTTTTGCTAAGGAGACTTGAAAGTAATCCACACTTTGAAGGCTTTGTAGATCAAAATCTGGAATGTTATTCTAGAAATCAGGGAAGGTTCACTTCAACGTATGTCACAAAATGTATGTTGGTTCAAAATATGTTAGAATGTTATAGGACATTACTTTCAGTGACTATTTTAATATAAGGTGAGTAGAATTGTATTCTGAAAGCATTTTTTAAGCAGCTTGCAGTTTGACTGAACAGTAATATGTGATTTTCTTATATGAGAGAATCTACGTACTGGTTGGAATCTCACTGGATGAACAGGTATTAATACGGCTGGAAAGAAGATAATGAACTGCTCTGCATTTACTCGACATTACTTATCACTGTAGTTATGCTGTCATTACATGTAATTGAAATAAAATCATAATTTGTGTCAGATATGATTAACAGAGCATAAGAGAATTTATGCCACTATATTGCCAATACTGCAATGTTTAGTTACAGGTTTGTGTCATAATTTTACCTACATGTAACATTGATTTTGTATTAAAACAGTTTATAACATATATTAATATGTGTATATAAAATAGAAATCCATTATAATTGGAGTTCACAACAACCAGAAAGAAATGCTGGTATAATAAATTCTAGTTACATATTATTAAACATGTGGAAATGATAGTTTGCTCCTAATTTACAAAAGAAAGATGTGCATTTAAAAGCTTCTGGAATTCATACTTAGAAAGTGTTAATATGGGCATTGGAACAAACATGGTTTCTGCATAGTGTGGCAGTAATATAGTCTAATTGAGGTTATGTGAGATAAATCAGATGCGGTTGTGATCATTGATTTGTTGCATTTTAAAAAAACTGTTAATGGACCAGTATTAAATCACATGTTACTATTCTTAACTTGAATAATATGAGTATGACATAATATTGAAAGTCACAAATCATATATTGTTTATGTGAGTACCATTACCAGGATTTATAAAGTTTAAATTTATTTATTTTTTTCAAGTTTTGCATTTATTTTATTTAAAAGATACATAACATGAATTGCTTATTTAATTGGTTTAGACTCTTTTTAACATTTTTATTCTGTTGTTTGCTGAATAAAATAGGAAAGAAAGGTAAATTTGTCCCTGGTGTTTAAGCACTAGTCCATGTAGACACAGGGGAGTGGAGACATTACTCCATACATTCTTAACTTCAGCACTAGATGGCAGTGAGTGCTCAGCTTCATGCCCCAGCCGCTTTACCCCGAAAAGAAGAACCCTGGTACCCAATGGATAGGAGGCTGGGTGAGCCCTGGAGCTGGTTTGGACACTGTGGTGATGAGATGAATCCGTCGTTGCTAGAAATTTAACCTTGGTTGTCCAGCTCATAGAAAATTTCAGATTTTTCCTCGTCGTTATTTTACCTATTGTATAACGTTAGGTATTTTAGTCTGTGTGCAACATGATATTTGTGGTTTTACCATGAAATAAATTTCCTTTCTATGAATGTGATTCTGACTGGTTATTGGTAGTACTCTTTATTCGCATACACCATCATTTTACAGAGAATGGTTTACATATATATCTGGTTGAGATTTCAGGTTGTCACAATGACATGTGTGAAAATAAATAGCTGTCTTCTGGGATGTTATGTAGTCTTGTTGAAACTGACAGATGATGCCCTGATGAAAAAGACAGTATGCTGAAATGTAATTTTCTACCAGACTGCACAGTGCAACATCCCAGAACACAATCATCTTTAATATTTGGTTGTGGCATAGTTGTACCTTTTAAAATTATTCTAATGTAGTTTTATAAGTAGAAGTATTAACATGAGTTTAGCCTTTAATATAAACTTAACCCCTTCACATAATTTACAATTCTTATATATCTTTATGAATCATCATGTAGTGTTGTTTGTGTTTTGTGTGGGGTACTGGTTCTATATATTTATGAATGCATTTAATAATTTGATTTTAAATTATTGTATTTGTGTAGTGCATATTTCATGAGTAATGAAAGACTAATTGACATGTTTTGCCATGTCTGCCAATTAGAATTTTAAAAAGGATTTTCTTATTTACATACAGGAAGGATGAAAAGCTGTGGCACATAACTATCTTGTGACCTGCTTCTGAAAAGGGGACCTCCAGATATGCAGACTGTCAGTCGGATGCTTTTTCTTTTCATGCCTTAAAACCAGGATTGTGCATATGTCCAGCATTTTGAAACAAACAAATTTGAACTCTGCTTTTTTTATTATTTGTTTTAATTATCTGAGTCATTATATGTCACAGATACATGTCTATGTTTTAAATGATAGCCTGAATTTTGTTTTATGATTAATCACTCTAGCTGCCACAGTTCTGAATTTAGCCATGAAAGCTATTTTGTGTCCACAGCCCACTGGAATTTGCTGTTTTGCCATATTTTGTGTAGTATCAGTGTTGGTTTCATAATGATGAAGGAATGGCTCAAACATTGTTTGAGTTAATGGAAACTTGCATATGCTTGTGTAGTTCTTGTCAGGAACATAATTTAAGTTGTTTTGAACCTGGGGAAGTACACAGTTGCAATTAAATCATCAAAATAATGTAGTTGAGTAGCTGGGAATCGATACACCTTTGTTGCTAGCTACTCAATAGATTAGACTGTATTTCAAAGTAGTGACCTAGTGTTTGTATACTACAGTTTTCAGAATGGTAATATATTTTTATTAAATATTTTGAGAGTGAAACTAGTGCAAGAGACTAGGATTGAAAGGCATGCATGTCCAACTGCCTAAGCACCATGACCAATGATGATTTGTTGCTCGTCTTGAACAATTATCCTTCAGTAACCTTGCACCTTCAATAAGTTGAAAGCCTATTGATTTGTGAAAAGCACTAAATTCTATTTTCATAATGCATGGTCAATGTGCCATGTAATATTGCAAAGAACTGTAAAGCCATTAGAATGAACTGAATCCTCTTGAAAGTTGATTAGAAGAATTTGGCAGCATATTGTAGCTCATGTTAAGCTAATTTTGAGTTGTTAGTATAGAATACCTAAACAACGAGAAGTTAAAATGTTGCCAAACTGAAACAGGTATGAACTTTATATACAGCAGATAGCATATCTATCAGTCAGAAACACAGAAGTGTACAAGATTTATTTGTGGAGAAGTAGACCCATGCTGCTCAAAATTGGGGAACTTTCATCATTATGTGCTCATGATATATTGTTTCCTATGCAGTTGCATGTGTGTGTGTTTATGGGTGCACACACATATACGCATGAAATGGGCATCAGCACGTGTGTGTTTCCCTTCATATATTTTGAAGTTAATAAACTTTTGGTGTGAATATAAAATATAGCAGTAGATTATCTACTGACACTGAAGAAGTGTTATAGATTGCAGAGTTTTGTAACACAAACTGTTTCAGTTACTCTGGGTTTTGTCTTCATTTCAGATTTAAAATAAACACGATTTTGAAAGACTTTAAGGTTTATAGGACTCACTTTATAAAATAAATACATTCTTGGTACTGAACTTATAAAGTATTTGTACTCATTAAAAGGGAATAGAGTATACTAAGTAGAAAATGGGGATCCATCTATGTATATGCTTGCTTTACTTACCTTACTTTCTAAGTTTCTGCATGTACTGAACAACATTTGTGTATGGATTTCTCATTTGATTTTGTTACCGTTAAAAATAAATATATGTTACAATTTATATCTTGGTGAAGAGTCCTCCAGAAACTGAAAAAAAAATGCATATAAGAAAAATAAAAACTTAGTAGAATAATCAACAGCTATTTTTCTGTTCTTGTGAATTATATAAGTAGTAGGTATATGCCAGAAGTGTGTTATATGAAAGTTATAATCACAGTTTGTGTTTTTGTAGGAGTACATATTTTATTTATGGGCTTTTATCAATATGGTAATGAACCTACAGATTCCATGAAAGCCAGGGAACTTTTTTGGTACCTGAGCAAATATCTGCTTCTCAGGGAGGACTCTGCTATATGTAGTTAGTAATATATGTTGTTTCTTATTTATTCTCACTGTTTTCTTATTAAATAAGAGTTTTTATACCCTTAAGCAACAGCTGGTTGATGATATAATGGTGTTGTATTGTTTTAATATTATCATAATATTGAAAGTAGAATTTGGTCTATCAGTGTACCCTCAAATTATGGATCCACTACTTGCATCAGTAGTTGGTAATTTGATCTCTGTTCAAAAGGCATATTCCCATGTTTGGAGTATATTGTATTGTAGTAATCAGTTGTCAATTGTCGCATAAAAATGTTTCAAAATATGTTTAATTAGATACAATAGCATGACCAGAATTTATTTGTTCATTTCCCTATGAAGGAAGTTCCGAATGAACATAATTTTATCATTTGTTAGTATTTATAATGCTTGTAAATACACATGAAAATCTCAAATGTGGTAAGTTCTCTACAATTAAGACATAAAAGAATACTACCACAGTAAGACACTGAGGGCATATTACAGATACTCTTATGTTTTCATGTTTTTTTTTCTTCATTTTATTAATTGTGTAAAACAATTATCTCCATTATGTTCCACAATATTTTCTCCATCTTTCAATTACATGTTTTCATGTAGTATGTATTTTTCATTTTGTGTACGTGTGACATTTTTATCTTGAAAATCTCTGTCTGTAACATGGTATTTATTAATGCACTGGTTATAGAGCAGGGTTTAATGAATATATTTTTGGCGAGTTATGCCTCATTTTTACATGGTTTGCATTAGTCATTTATTGGCAAGTAAGCATTTTGCAGTTAGTTTTGTTATATCAAATTAGGTTACCAGTATTTTAATGAGGATTCTTTATGGCCAGGTAAGACATAAAACTCTTCTTCATAAGATCCAAGTTTAATTTCCAGAAGATAGTGATTTTTCTTGCAGAGATCAAACCTGCGCCTCTTCCAATGCTGAGACTTCAGGAACGTGGAGAATACCAGACCCATCCATAGCTTAGAGACTACATGAAGTCAACGTTTTGTCATTCCATCATTAGAATCTGCCTCAGAAATAAACTACTCATCCTTACTATTCAGACAGAGAGTCGCTTAATAGCTTTCCAAAGCTGCTGTATATAACCCAATCACCTCTGATGTATGTGCTCATCTACATGCACAGAAAGATGGCCCACTGACTTTTCTGTGTAATAAAATTGTTCCACAGTATCCATGAATCAGCATCAGAAACATGGTATTTTGTAATCATGTATCTGTACTGTTTATAAATATGTAGTTGTGAGTCATATATGAATGGGTGAATGAAATATGAGTACCTATATGGATGACTACATACAGCAAATAGAACTCATCGAAAGATTTTAAGGCCATGTAAATGTCTGCAACCTGAACCTACCAGAAAAAGTTGAAGTGATTGATAATTGAAGTTCGGGGGTATTCATGAGGTGTAATAGATTTTTATGGGAAAAGATTTTGGTGAGGCAATGCATGCACATAATTTATATAAAGTATGATGTGAAATTTTACATGGTATTATCCTTAAAATGAGGGCAGTGGAATAAATTATGCCCCAGGAAATTCAGTAGTGTGTGTGTAGGAAAGATGTCTCACTGTGAAATGGGGTCAAAGTTTTTTGACTGTTGATTTGTTAATTTTTTAATTGTTATGGTGTAATGTGCAATATTTCTAACCTGGGGGTCTCAGATTTTGAAATTGGCCATTGGTGTAGGAAGAACTCTCTCAGCTAACTTTCTAATGCAATCTCTCTCCAGATGTGGGAAAAGCCATAGTAGATAATGATACAGTACACTCAGTAATGTAATGCATGATGTGTGTGTAAGAACTGTTATGAATTATAAGATGTATTTCTAATTAGAAGTTTATAAAATTGAGGGCTGGCCCTCCATATTTATTGTGCATTTGTACAAAGTAAGAAATTTTATGTGTGAAAAATGTTAATTTTAGTATTTGGAGGAGAAACTGTGTGACTGATAATTGTGATGCAATAAAACACCAAAATATTATATTATTTCTGTTGATCTCTGTGTTCCATCTTTTCCCAACTTTACATTCATTGGTCAGAATTTAGATGCCAGTTAAATGTGTGGTCCAGATGGGTTGACTAAGCAGATTGTCTCAACTATTTGTACAGCAAAAGCAAAACGTGTCTGTCGAATGTACGCCAGCTAGGACAATATTATTTTATAATTAAAACATATTCATTTAAATGATTTGTATTTCACTTTATTAGTACTATACTGCTCACATAAAGCTAATCAGATTCATTGCAAATATATTTTAGATATTTATTTTACATGAAGCAATCCGAAGCTGGGAACTGAGTCCCATAACTAATTGACTATTCTGACTAATTATAATAGATAATACTGTTTGGGTGTAGGTTATTGATAAAATTTGATCCAAAAATTGGTTGTTCTGTGGGGTATTTCAGAATTTTTAAACATCTCTATGACATTTGTTACTACATAAATAAAACATACTGTTTTATGATGTGGATTAGCTAAGTGATGGAAGTAGGTTAGTAGGTGTGCGATTAGCAATTTGCTGTAATTTAATGCCTATCAGAAGGTAAATTGACATTTAAAAATAACAAATATTGCGGTTAAAATAAATGGCAGAAATAATAGGAAAACCTGCAAGAAACCTGGGGCTTTGTAGGCTTCATCACCACAATTCTGTGTGAATTTATCAGGTCTCTGCAACAGATAAAAAGTCCAATACACTAGCTACGGGATAGATGATGTTCTGTATTGAAGCCAGATATACATCTGCATGATCTGATACCAATAAGTAATTGTCTTCATAAAAAAATAAAGCTGTCCCACTATACATTCTTTAGGCATGGGTGGAGGGGGAGGATTACAGTAAGGATCTCTTGTGTATTTTTAATGTTTCCATTTTACAAGGAGGCCCTAATAAACAAGAATATACTTAGCCTTAAATTTATATGTCAGTCTACATATTTTGCCCAAAATTGGTTAAATTTCGAACAACAATGCATTCAGTTTTCACTGTTGAAGGTATTATGTGTATATATATATATATATATAAATAAAACTTCATGCCCTTACTTTCATTAGTCAATATGTTGTTTCAAAATCTATCAGTCTGTTTTGACTCATAAGTACAAAAAGCATTGATTACCACAGAAGCCTGTTGCTCCATCTGCATGTACATTATAAGCCACACATTTTTTTTACTTGCTGACACTTAAGTTCTGCACAAACTATAAGCCATATCAAGTATATTACTTAAGTGTATGGAGTCTGCACACAAGTGATTATTAAATATGTGTGTATGATAATTACTGTTAACATGTATACAGTTGTTTGTATTTTCTCTGGTAATTGAAAGCTTAGCTATAAAACTACAGTATTTACGCACATATTCCGTTTTAGTCTCAGCTTTTGATTACTGTGTTACTTCTTCTTCATAAACAATTGGTGTCTTGTCATCAGTAGAAACATCCTTTGGTGCTTTCGTAGTTGGTGGAGGTTTTTCTTCAGATGGAGACAGAACTGGTACAGGGCCTGTACTGTGCATTGATCCCCATTTGCCTTTTCCAGCTTCAGATGATGTCATTAAGATTGAGTAGGAGGTAATGGAATCACTTTCTTTGCTATGATGAATTCCATATAGGAAGTATACCAACAAACCTACAAAACAGGTGAAGAAATTAACTTCTACTTCTACCTGTTTGTACACATCAGAAGCATTACTGCTAAGTAAACTTGCTAGATACATAAGTTGTTTAAAATTTGTCTTGTTTGTCATACATTTCCATTTTATTAGCAATGAATTTTCATGTTGTATGAATTATAATGTATAAGATATTTTGCAACTTTTATGTAATGTCAGTACAGAAGTTATACCAATACAATAACATGTTTAAGTAGATCATAATAAATGGAACTCTCTCATTAATGCTCCATGTGTGCCCTCACCTAGTGCCATCCAAACAATGAATCGCACCCATGTAAGAGCTTGCAAGTGAACCATCAACTCAACATTGAAGAAGATGCTGAGTGCTGGAATTAATGGAACAAATGGAACTTTGAACCGCAGACCTACTGTGTTCTGCTGGTGAGCCATTATGACCAGCAGACCTAAAATAACAGATATTAGGTTAAGATTGTTTTAAATGTAACTTGGCTGCAAATACCTACATTAATAAGTACACATCTTACTTAAGGCAGAAATGTACCTCACAGTTTTGGTTAGTTTCAGTTTCTAATTCTGCATGTTTTCTGACAGAACTGTGCATAATATGCAAGTGGATTATTCTGGTGAAATAAATGCATATGTTCAATGCAATAAACCACTTCATAATCTCTGACTATTGAAGACATATATTTCTCAATATGAAACAATGTTAAAGTATTTAACCTTCTTTTATATAGTACCTATATGTCTGTATGTGCCAGATTTCCATGAAAGGTGGTAAGAATGTAGGAAGGATACCATGTCTTCATAGTTGTTAATGTTTTACTATCAATACTATTAACATAATATATACTGAAATGGGTGTGTGCTGTTGGCACAAGAAACACCCTGCACCATTGAGTAAGTAAGTAAGAAAGAAATATAATGACACCAATAAATAGATAAAGCAGTTTACTTACATCCTACTAGGCAAAAAATGAAGAAACTGGCCAGAAGGACTGTCCACCAGACACCAACTCTTAACTCATGTGATGATAACTGCAGCTGTATGCAGAGGGCAGTACTAAAGCATGTGAAAATAAATACTGCTCCTGATACAGCTCCTCCAGGTTCACAGTTGCCAATTAATGGACTAAGCCACAGGAAGCCTGGTTTCAGCCTCCCAGCTGTCACTAACTCAACAATCTGTAAAAGACAAAGTTATATTATAAGATGTGTAGCAAGCAAGTAATGATGATTGACTCATTCATTCACTGATAAATATTTATGGGTGTTACTGAACTATTTATATATTTTATGAAAATGAAACAATACTTACACTGCCACTGTTTGTTAATTAGCAGAAATAAGGATTACCTAAGTGGCAATGGAATTAAAATCCAAAGAAAAGTAATTTTTGAAGGGCCAAGAATTCAGTAAAGGTAAAAAAATGTGGAAAAGGGAAACTACTTGTGAAGAAAAGTGATGTATATTTACATCAGATGAAGGAGAGGCAAGCTCAGTCCCTGACTGTGAACTGTCATCAGTAGTCACAGATCCAACTCTGGGCACAACAGTTTCCTCAGGAGCTGGAGGACGATACCGGAGAATAATGACAGAAGCACTGACAATAGTGTAGGCCAAGAGAGTTCCAATAGACATGAACTCTACCAACTTCTGAAGATCAAACACTAGAGCAATGATAGCACTGGAAATTCCTGATATTGCTACATTAATTAGTGGGACCTAAGGAAGGGAAAAGAAAATCATTAGCCCACTAATACTACTGTTCTCTCATCCTATTTATGGACACAGAGAAGTATGCATTTTGATGAAACACTGCATATCCGCTTGTGATTGTGAGCCTAATACAGGTCAAATTAAATAAATGTCTTGATAATTTTATCTTCATTGCATTCACAGGTAACAGATAAATCATTTTATATAAAACTTTGTATAGAATGTTCAACTAAAATTTATTTTAGAGTAATCTACTTCACTGCTAATATGAGGTTTCAAAATCTTGTTTTTGGTATATGGTAGCATTCATTGGACTGGGGTGGTTGCCCCATTGTTAGACCTGTACCTATACAGGACAACACAACACTGAAAGACAAGTACAGCATCACAGCCCACACTTTCAGCAAGTGGCCAAAATTCATACCCTATACCATGCAATCACAGTGATCAGCACAGATACATTATACCCCATCATTAAGATCTGTACCTTTTATTTGAACCATTTTCTAGCATGTAACTAACTTGTGTCTTTTGATTGATAGATCCCAAGAAACTGAAGAGGAGTCCATCAGAAGCCATGGCATACATGCATCGAGGGAGTGAAAAGAGGGAGCCAAAAAGTGTTGTTGTCATCCCACATAGTGCTCCTATTGACACAACATATTTGGCCCAGTTCAGACCAATACTGGAGAATGCTTCTGGCAAGGCTGCACTCGTGCTGATGGTCCAGTAAGGCACCATCAGTGTCAGTGCTGCACTCACAAGGATATAACCAACTGTTACCACAAGCATGGATACAATTGTTGCTATGGGAATGGACACTGTTGGATTCTGAGCTTCCTCACTAGAAGTAGCTGAAACACATTAATCCACAATCAAAATCTTAGACTTTTACAGTGATTTGTTAAATCTTATGTTTTAAATTCTTTGATGTTGAGTTTTGTTATGATAAAATGTGTCAAAGTAAATAGTTGTGATATTCTATATAATTTTATTCTCTAACAAATGTTTAGACATAAGTTTAAAATCTTAGATGGGACTGGGTGTCATGACAAAAGCTGAGGGTTTTGGTAGACCACTTAATGTTTTTTCTACTTATATTTGCATTTGCAATGCCAGTGCAATGTGCTGCATGTGCTAAAGATGTCTGCACCAGACAATGAAGACTTCTTTTATTTATATTTTATCCATAAGCTGAGACAAAATAGCAATATGTAAATATTAAAAATGAGTAGTGGTAAATTGCTGGTTTGTTCTTAATACTTACAGTTATCAGTATGGTTACACTTATTTACTCCATTCAGTAACTGCATGATATAAATCTGATTTTTATGAAACTGTTCTTGCATTCATTATAAACTTTCAGAATTCAGGTGCATATTACGTATGGAACTGCAATAAATTTGATGGTTTCCATAGTCGCTTAATACAATAATATCACGAAATTAAACCAGTGAACTTACCTATGCTGTCAAATCCAACAAATGCATAAAAACAGGTCGCTGCTCCTGCTATGACTCCTGTGAAACCGAAAGGAAGAAACCCTTTCCCCACAGTCCAGTTCTCAGTGTGGGCATAGTAGAAACCAGCACAAATCACAAGTATCATAACACCGAGGTTGATTATGGTGAAGAGGCTATTGAAAATGGCTGATCCCTTCACTCCAACACCGAGGAGACAAGAATAGACAAGGCAGACTGCAAATGCGAGGAAGTCCGGATAACGTCCCAATAATTGCTCATGCATTTCACCGACTGTAGAGACAGTGGCATTGCTAATTGCAAACCCCATCAATGAATCCACATAACCACTCCATGCACGAGCCACTGACGCAGCTCCTGGAATTAAAAATGCAAAAAAAAAATTAAATTTGCAGTTAAAGTACAGTTTATATGTTTAACACCAATGAACCAGGATAGCTCAGTCAGTATAGTGACTAGCTACGGGCTGGACAACCGGGGTTTGATCCCCAAAGAGAGCAGAGGATTTTTCCTCTATTATCAGGATGAGTTATATTATAAAAAGTAATTCTTACCAATCATATGTTCTAGTATAATATTCCAACCAATCACAAAAGCCCAGAACTCTCCCACACTGATATATGTGTAGACATATGCAGATCCAGCTTTTGGAATCCTAGTACCAAATTCAGCGTAGCAGAGAGCTGCTAGCAGGGACGTCACTCCCGCAAGAAGGAAGGATAGGACAATACCAGGACCAGCAATCTCTTTTGCTACAGTTCCTGTGAGGACATAGATGCCAGCACCAACCATATGGCCCACACCTGAAAGATCCATTCTAGATTTTAACAAAAACATACTAACATTTTTATTTGTAGCATACTGAAAGCACAAGACAAACTGTTTTGACTTTCTAAATGCTCAAATTTGCATATTTTTTTCCTTTCTGATTTCTGCATGAACAAATTCGTTAATATATGTGTTATATACTTATTTGAATTTATAAAGTAAATGCATTAGTGATCTTTATTGCAGCTTCAACAGTACAGAGACTTAAACAGCACAAGTAATACAATGTAAGGCCTACGTTTAGAAGTCGTAATGTTGATGTGGTAGTTACATAATATAAAGGGTACTGAAGATGGATACAAACCAAGAAGTGTGATATCGAAAGTATTAAGGCAACGATTGAGTGGTGTTTCCATGATGTTGGCACCCAGCTTCTTTGTCCGATTCATCTTGGAACTGAGGTCAGTCACCACATGACCAAGAATCATTCTCCGGGAACTTGGCATATTTATGTTTCTGAATCTGGCTACCTGAAAAATAAGACATCGAATTCTTATAAGTTGTTTTATAGCACACATTATATTGTACGTGAAATGAACATATAATAACATACAGGTGTTTCTAAATTATAGGAGATCTTCAGGAAGTTAGTGTGAGTCAAGAAGGCCCATTGAATAAATGCCCAGAAATGATTCTGTGAAAACTTGTAACTTCATGGGTATGCTGTTCCAACATCTCTGAAACGAAAAATTCTTGACTGAGGGAGGATTTACTTGTTACAATATAACAGAAAATGTTTGAAGTGCCTTCCGTGGGCATGAACACACGCATAAGCACGATGCGGGAACGATATCTGGAAGGGTTCGAACACCCCAATTATGGTACGGATGTCCTTTGCTGCATTTTATATGCGTTACCAAAATTTCCGTCCGATATCAGAAGTATTGGTGTAAATTGCAGAACCCCATAAGTATCAGATTAAGGTCTGGTTACCGTAGTGGCCACGACCAACGTCCAACGTCCTTTTTTAACTTTTTACAGGAGCATTTTCGGACCTGTGTTCAATGAACCTTTCTCGCTTATTGACGTCCTAATGCTCCCGTGTAATTTATGGCATAATTTAGCAACAGTTTGTACATAAACATGGGCCGTAACAATCTACTATAAACATTTGTGATTAGTCGTTGTCGTCAAAAAATGACGTCATCAACAATGTCAACTATAAACAAACTCGGCATTGTTGTGGAACACAACAATGCCAAGTTTAGTGTCTTACTCAAGATTTTAAAACGCAACCAACCCCCCCCCCCCGAAGGGGTTGGTTGCTTTTTAAAAACTTGACCACCCCCGTTTAGTTTCTTACTCAAGGGTTAAAACACTTGAATGAGACACTAAACTAACTCCCCCTTCCGAAGGGGGGATTAGTTTAGTGTGTTACTTAAGATTTTAAAACGCAACCAACTCTCCTTCGGGGGGGTTGGTCAAGTGTTTTTACCCCCCATTCGTGGGGGTAGTTTAGTTTCTTACTCAAGGGTAAGGTTGGTTGCGTTTTACAAACTGGTCTAGTTACTTAAAATCGAAAGAAGTTTTAAATTCCGCAATTGTTTGAAACTATTTGGCCAACAAAAATATTTTTACAACCGCAGTTTGTGAATAAGGACGGGTCAGAATAACTTACGTCATACCTAGCGGAAGATAATACATTATTATTATTATTATAAGGAGTCAGTATCACCATAAGCGTACCCTTATCTTTAGTGGAGCTTTTTCTGCTGCTGAAATATAGCTTAATTGTATGCTGCCACTCTGAGTCATTATTTCGAATCACGAGGAAACTCGTTCAGTTCATAATCTTAATAATCCACGAATTAAAAGAAATCGAGTACACATCTATCATCTCCTACGTCAAGAATTCCCAAGCACTTTTTGTAGTCCTAAATAACTTGTAATTACCATCAGTTCATTAACTCGTAAATGAGAAGCTACACTGAAACGTATTCGTACCATATGTTGTTTCAATGGAAGAAGCCAGAATTTTATACTGTTTCAAGCACCATTTCCAGTTAAACGCCTGACATGTATCGCAAACGTTTTGCAGTTCTTTTGTTTTTCAAACCAAAAACTAAAATCCACACTTCTTACCTAAGTGAAAGATTAATTTGGAGTAAATCTTGACAGATCTTCTATTGTGCAGATCATGATGCACTGTGAGCTGTACCTCTTGTACCTTATACGCAAGTCTGGTTGGGTGTATGGTATATATGAAAGGAAGTTCCAATCGATCAGTAGAGCGTAGTGTACAGCCTAGTAAGCGAGTTGGTGGAAAAGTGGTTGATGTTACGTTTATCCTTCTCACGTTCAATCTTAAGTAAGCATTTTAGGACACAGTAAGTCATAATAATAATAATAATGTTCTAATGCACGTCTGCAAAAGTAACTTATGATCATAAACAACCTAAAAAAATTACGAATGGAGTAACAGTTCCCGCGGGGGAGCTCCCCTCCTGGGGATTCCCCATCCAATAACTTCCGCTTGAAGAAAAGTTTGAAGGTCTTAATATAAAATGCCCTTTATTGGAACGTGCCAAAAATTTTAGTAAAACTGCCCATAGTCAAATTATACTCATTGTGAAACTATTATTATTATTATTGACTGCAATTGGGTTTATACCCGGTGGCAGTGGTGCTACAATAAGACAAACCACAAAACAACACATGCAGTACTCTCCATTATCCTGTCACTCGTTATATATTTCCTTTCCTTAAGTACAAAATGAATTACAGGCAATATAAATACTATTTCAACGCATTAATTGGTGAGTATTAACAATTGTCGTTTTCAGTGCAAATAGGAACTTATTTAAATTTTGCGCCAATTTAATCCGCCGATTCGAATATACGCGTTATGTACGGTGCTGCCACAGATGTGGTTAGGTGCTGCTATCTGTTTAAAGGATCATGCCGCATTGAGAAGAAGGAATTGCGATATATGGTTAGAATTTGTATGATATAATTAAAGTGTGGCGTAGTCCAGTTTCGTAATAGTCTTTTTTGGTTTTAATTTAAGAGAGATAGGTATTATATGTAGGTAGTTATGTGACTTACCAAACTGTACATTATTTTATCTTAAAAATAACTTTCATTCAAGCTTTATGGAAGAGTGATTTACGATCTTATTTATGTTAAAATCTGACAAATATAATTAATTTAAAGCCTAGATATTCAAGTAGAACAGATTATGTTTATGTGAAACGTTCTTCTGTATGTACAGTCACTTATTAATGCACATTAAAGGATACGACTAAATTTATGTTATTGATTTTGTCCAGTTTTAAGCCACAGACGTTTTGGGAGTTATCAAGGATGAGTTACAGCCGAGGTGGTGACGGGAAGCCGCGTGGATTTGGATTTTCAGGATTCCAGCTAAAACGTGATCGGGCAAGCCAGCTGCCACCTCCGCCTTCAAGTGCAATTAGCAAACATGGTTACTCAACTATGTCGGCTATCAGCCAAAATGCACTTGCTGCAAGTTATGGTTTGCCAAGGAAAAGATCAAAGACTGAGGAGGAGTAAGTGTGAGATTGTTTTCTGAAATCATACAGACAATACTTGTTCTCGATCTGCCCAAGCATCATCTTTATATTAATGTACACAATTTAGCCAGACTCTTATATCCCACATAAAAGTTTCTTATGATGCAATTTGTTTATCTTGAGTGCAGTATACAGTCTGTGTATAGCCAAAGATTTATCCAGTGGCTAATTTACTCATTGATGTCACCTGTTGTCTAGAAGAGGGCTATATGTATGTAGGTGTAATAACACAGTCTCTTAAATGCTGCTGTTAAAAGACTGTATTATCATATGGGTTACTCATATAATTCAAACATTCTTCTATATACTGAGGTGCACTCATACTAACAGAAGGACCTGGTCGATTGTTACTCTCTTATGTGTTGTCAGAGACAGATGATGGGGCAATAATGTTCTTGTTTATAGCATGGGAATGAGAAACTTCCAGAAATGTTTCCAACAGTAGTAGGAGCACTGGAACAAGTGTGTGTGTGCTGCAGGGTAGAACATAGCTCTAAGGAATATGTAATGTGTGACAGTTCACAATTTATGAAGATATTGCAAAGATGTCGCACAACTACTTTTATGAATTTTGTCCATTTGCTAGGTATTTTGATGAAGATGATGAACATGTGACACCAGCATCGACTCTGGAATACATACCAGCACCGGGCAGCCCATCATATCAGCCACAAGGAGGTCAGAGCTCTGATTCAGAGGAAGATCCTCTGGATGCTTTTATGGCTGGTATAGAACGTGAGGTTCAGAAAGAAACTGATAAAATTGAAGAAAAGGAAGATAAGAAAAAAGGAATAAGAGATGATATTGAAGAGGAAGATGTAGAAGAATCATACTACAGGTAAGTACAATTTGCTATAGTGATAAAAATATATATAATTCATCGCCCTGATGACGGAGGCAGTATGACCTCTGAAACGTTGGTTAACATCGACCAGACTACACAGTGAGACAACCCAGAAGACGGAAATCTTCATACTCACCGCTGTGAGAACCTCAAGTCTTACAAAAATATATATGTCTTATTTTCTTATTACTAGCTTGAAGAGTCAGAACAGCCACAAAACTGTCTCTAATCCTCATTTCAAACCTATTTAAGTGGAAATTCCCCATGTATATGTTAATAATTTGAATGGATAACAATATAAAACTAAACTAATTCTTTGGTAATAGTAATAGAAAGTCTGTCACTGAACATGATCCTAAGCCAGTTGTGTCAACTTTCCATTCTCAAAATCTGTTTCCCGTAGATCTTCCTTCAGTTTTTGTTGCACACATTAATTCTTCAGAGCACTAGGAGTTTGCCAAAGGTAAAGATGACTGTGTTTGTGCTGTACCTTAATAGAGAAAAATAAAATTAACCAACTCCACAGATAAGCTAATAAATATGCATAGATTTCTCCAATGATCTCTTCTCTGCCATTAATAATATGTTCCATGCATTGACTTAGGAAAGGTATAGTAGTTATGTATTTTTAACTCTATATAAATATTGTCCTTTTTTATATGCTGGTTGGAGTACTGTATATTTTTTTATAATTTATCTACAAATTATTGTTGAGATTGTCTCTAATATTAGCATTTTCATAAAAAAGATCAATTAATAATATAATAGAATGAATTTTAAGGTAGATTTTTAGAACTGTTTATTACATTTTATTTTGTTACTTCTGAATAAAACAAATGGAAATGTATACATTGTATACAGCAGCAAGAGATGATTTTTCATTACCTTGATTGCAGGTACATGGAAGAAAATCCTTTGGCAGGTGTTCAGAATGACGAATCAGATCAGGAGATAGAGTATGATGAAGATGGTAATCCTATTGCTCCAAAGAAGAGCAAAGAAATTGATCCTCTGCCTCCAATTGATCATTCAGACATAGATTATGTTGAATTTGAGAAGAATTTTTACAATGTCCATGAAGAAATAACTAGCCTTACACTGAATCAGATGGATGAGTTACGTCAGAAACTTGGAATTAAAGTGACAGGTCCTTTACCACCGCACCCTGTTAGTAGTTTTGCTCACTTTGGATTTGATGAAGCACTGATGAAGGCAGTTCGGAAGTCTGAATATACTCAGCCAACTCCAATTCAGGCTCAGGCCGTTCCAGCAGCCCTCAGCGGTCGAGACATAATAGGAATTGCAAAGACCGGTAGTGGAAAAACGGCAGCATTCATCTGGCCTATGTTGGTACATATAATGGATCAGAAAGAACTCCAACCAGGGGATGGACCTATAGGACTGATTCTTGCTCCTACAAGAGAATTATCACAGCAGATCTATTCTGAAGCTAAGAAATTTGGTAAAGTTTATAACATTCAAGTAGTTTGTTGCTATGGTGGTGGTTCCAAGTGGGAACAGTCAAAAGCTCTTGAAGATGGAGCAGAGATTGTAGTAGCGACCCCTGGTCGCATGATTGATCTTGTCAAGATGAAGGCTACCAACCTTCAGCGAGTAACATTTCTTGTGTTGGATGAGGCTGATCGGATGTTTGATATGGGCTTTGAACCCCAAGTTCGATCGATTTGCAATCATGTGAGACCTGACCGACA